GTTCCAAACCCTGTCGCCTTGCTGTTTCTATGGTGGACAGCGTTAGAGCGCGCGCAGGCATTGGGCAACAGGGGAGACACGGCGTCCCTGTCCCGGCGCTCGACTTCGCCTGCGCGCGCTTGTAGAGGCGAGGATGACCCCCTCGATCAACCGTCTATCCGATCGACCATGTCCTGCGCGGGGCGGTGATGCGCTGGCCTGGCCTCGACCGTGAAGGTGGCCTGAGCTTTGCCGAGGCCGAGACGATGGTCGCCCCGGCTGGCGGGATGGCTGGCGGCGCAAGCTTCTTCGCGCCCGGCGCGCGGGTAGCGACACAGTTGCCCCAGGCGCGGCTGTCGGCGCTGATGCCGTTGGCTGCGCCACGCGCCAGGTTGGTCCCATGTGCCGATCAACCCGCTGCTCAAGCGGGCGCAGGTTCGCATATCTGGCCGATAGCGGCGCGACGATGCTGTTGACCCATGCCCCGCGCGCCGCCACGCGCTGGAGCCGGGCGATGTGCCGGCGACGACGCGGGCTGACGGTCGAGGCTGGGGAGGGTGATGCGCTGCCTCGATCGGACGGCGATCCCGATGCGCTGGCGGCGATCCTCTATACTTCGGGGTCGACAGGCGGCCCAAGGGGGGGTGATGCTCCAGCCATGCCAATCTTTGGCTGGGGCGGTGTCGGTGGCGCACTATTTGCGCTGACCCCGGCGGACCGGGTGCTGGGCGTGCTACCCTTCAGTTTCGACTATACAGAACCAGCTCTTCTCGACACGCTGGCGGGCGGCGCGGTCGCGCCGCTCGACTATCTGACGCCGCAGGACGTGGTGAAGGCGGTGGCGCTATGGCGCAACCACGCTGGCAGGAGTGCCGCCGCTGGACGCAGTTGCTGAGCATCGACTGGCCCGAGGAGGCGATCGCGCCGCTGGCGGCTGACCAATTCCGGGGGCGCTGACCCCGTCGTTGGTCAAGGGTTTGCGGACGCGGTTCCCGGCGGCCGACCTTACGCCATGTACGGGCTGACCAGGGGCGTTTCGGTCCACCTATCTCGACCCGGCCCCTGATCGATGCCATCACGATGCGATCGGGCGCGCCATTCCCTTTGCGGGAGGTGATGATATTGCGCCCCCGATGGAACCGCGCCGCGCCGGGGAGCCGGGCGAGCTGGTCCATTCCGGGCCGCTGGTCGCGCAGGGTTATTGGCAGGATGCCGAGCGGACGGCGCAACGTTTTCCGGCCGCGCTCGGCCACGATCGCGCGGTCTGGTCGGGGGACAATGTCGTCAGGGACGGATGGCTTGCTCCGCTTCGTCGGGCGCGATGACGAGATGATCAAGGTCGCCGGCAACCGGATCAGCCCGCAGGAGATCGAGGGAAGCGGCGCTGAGCGGTGGCGAAGCGCGCGAGGCGGTGGCGATTAAGCGTACCTGATCCGGCGCAGGGCCGGGCGATCGTCTTGGTCACGGCGGGATGCCGCGACCGAGCCGGCGCTTCGCACACGCCGAAGACCGAACTTCCCAATTTCATGCAGCCAGCGCGGATTGTCTGGCGACGAACTGCCGCGCAACGCCAATGGGACCTGGACCGCGCCGGATTGTGCCGCGCGGTTCTGGACGAGATAGAACGGCATGAAGCCGATGGGCCCCTTCCACCCGGGTCGCGACGCAGCACGGCGCGCGCGATGATCGGCGGGCGTAGCGCGGAGGACTGGATGCAGGGGCGCGACGGCCCGCTATTCGTCTATGACCCGCGATCGTGGCGGCGCGGGTGGCGCAGTTCCGCGCGGCCTTCCCCCGATCGACCTTCATTGCGATCAAGGCCAACCCTTCCGCCGCTGCTCTGCCGATGGCAGGTCTCATCGATAGCCGACGTCGCCTCATCCGGGGAACTGGCCAGGTTGTGGAACTCGGCAAGCCGGTCAGTTTCGCCAGCCCGGGCAAGCCGCGATGCCGAACTCGCGGCCGCGATCGATGCCGGGATCACGCTCAACCTCGAGTTTGAAGGCGAGGCGACCGCGGGCTCGCCATCGCCGAAGCAACTAGGGCGCACGCCGCGCACAGCCGTGCGGGTCAATCCGGATGTCGAGTTGCGCCGGATCGGGCATGAAGATGGGCGGCCGGCCGTCCCCGCTTCGGTATCGATGCCGCGCGTGTGCCGCGCTCGTCCGCACGATCGTCGCGAGCGGCGCGGAATGGCGCGCTTCCATATTTATGCCGGCAGCCGGGCGCTCGATCCGCAGGCGATCATCGATGGCGCAGGCGGCCACGATCGCCCTCGCCGCGCGTCTGGCCGAGGAAGCGGGGCACACGCCGCCGCTGGTCAATCTGGGCGGTGGATTCGGTGTGCCCTATTTTGCGGCGACCAATCGCTGGATATCGAGCAGGTCGGCACCGCGCTGACCGAGGCGTTGGAGGCGCGGCCGGACATCTTGCGCGACACGCGCTTCGCGATCGAACTCGGCCGTTGGCTGGTGGCGGAGCAGGCGTTTTATATGGCGCATGTCGTCGACATCAAAGGACAGCAGCAACGGCGAGCGGTTCGCACCCGATCCTCGATGGCGGGCTGAACCACCAACTGGCGGCCAGCGGCAATTTCGGCACCGTCGTCCGGCGCAACTATCCGCTGGCACTCGCCCATGCGATGGGGGCGGAGGCAATCCAGACCGTGTCGGTCGTGGTCCGTTTGCACCCCGCTCGACCGGCTGGGCGACCGGGTGGCGCTGCCCGCTGTCCATGTCGGGGACATCGTCGCGATCTTTCTGGCCGGGGCCTATGGAGCCAGTGCCAGCCCTTCGGCGTTTCTGGTCACGGCCCGCCGATGAGATATTGGCCCGATGAGATATTGGCCCGATGAAATATTGGCCCAATGAAATATTGGCAGCGTCTGCCGGAGCATAACGCTATGTTCACCTCTTGGACGGCATAGCGACGCTGCGCAATTTGCCTTTTGCCCCGGCCGGGTTACGAGGTTCAGGAGTAACGTTCGCATGGCATCCTTCGCCCGCCCCTCTTGCTAGCAGGGCTCGCCGCCCTCGACGCTGACCGCCTGTTCGACCGCGACCAGCCGCCCCGAGCTGCCGCCGGCCGGCTATGTCGCGAAAAGACGTGCCGGGCGAGAATATGTCATTAGCCCGCTCGACCAGTTGAACATCTCGTCTGGCGCAATCGGACCTGTCGGCCAGGTTCAGGTGCGTCCCGATGGCCGCATCACCACGCCGCTGGTCAACGACATGCCGGCGGTCGGCAAGACGCCTCCATGCTGGCCGACGACATGAAGAAGGCGCTGTCGGAATATGTCTCCAACCCGATCTGTCCGTGATCCTCGAGAATTTCGCCGGTACCTATAGCCAGCAGGTGCATCGTCGGTGCGACCGAGCGGCCCGCCTCCCCATTCCTACCGCGCCAATACGACCCTGCTCGACGCGACGATCGCGGTCGGGGGGGGCTCAATATGCCGCCGGCAACAAGGCCAAGCTGGTCTGCACCGATCGCGACACCGGCAAGCAGCGTGAATGTAGATTGCAGATCAACGATTTGTTGAGGAAGGTGATTCGAGGCGAATGTCCGGCTGAACCGGGTGACGTCATCATCATCCCCGAATCGATGTTCTGAGGAGGCGCGCGCGTGTCCGGCGATCTGTGACGAAATCCGCATTGCGATCCATGCGATCTGGACCCGGCGCTGGCTGGCGCTGGCGGTCACCCCGGCCGTGTGCATCCCCGGCTGGCTGTTCGTCCTGCAAATCCCCAGCCATTATGAATCGACCGCGCGCATCGCGGTCCAGAATCCCGCAGCTTTTGCCCGATGGCATGGGCAATGGCCCTGATGCGCAGATGGAGTCGGTCGATCAGGTCCGCCAGACGCTGATCTCGGCGATCAACCTGCAAAAGGTGGTGCGCGGCACCGATCTGGCGAGCACGGTGTCGACGAACGCCGATGTCGCCGCGCGTCGCGGCGCTGGCCCAGTCGATCAAGATCGAGAACCAGCAGGATACCATCTTCAAGCTGACCGTCACGCAGGCAGCCTGGCCGCGCAGCAGGTGGCGCAGAAGCTGATCGATATCTTCGTCGGGTCCAATCTGGTCGGCGATCGCAACAATACCAGCCAGAGCCTGAGCTTTCCTCGACCGCCAGCTCGACGAGCAGCAGAAACAGTTGCAGGCGGCCGAGGCGAAGCGCGCAATATCAGAACCAGTTCATGGGCGGCCTGCCCGGTACCGGCTCGGTCGCCGATCGCATCGGGCTGGCGCGCTCGCAAATGGCGCAGGTGGACGGCGATCTGGCCCGCCGCCCAGTCGAGCGTCGCGGCGGTGCAGGGCCAGATGGCCGCGACCCGCGTACCGTGGCGGAGGGCGGCGGTGGCGTCGACCGGCGCAGGCGCGGCTGGCGACGCTACAGGGCCCGTTGGCCCGTGCGCGGGCGCAGGGCTTTACCGACAATCACCCTGATGTCATCGCGTTGAAGAACCAGATGGCCGCAGCGCAGGCAGCGGCCAAGGCGGAAAAGTTCGGGCGGCGGCGGCGGCGGGCAATCCTCTATCTCGCTCCAGTCGATGGCGGCCGGAGAAGCAGGCGCAGCTCGCCAGCCTGAAGGTCCGCAAGGCGCAGTTGCAGGGCGATCTCGACCGGCTGAACGCCAGCCTGTCGAGCAATCCGGCGGGCCGCGCAACAGGGCGCGATCGACCGCGATATCAGGTCCTGAAGGACAGTTACGACCAACTGCTTCGCCAGCGCGAGCAGGTGGCGCTTCGCGGTCGAGCGCAGAACCAGACGGACTCGATGCGCTTCTCGGTGATCGATCCGCCCACCTATCCGCGCGCCATTACGCGCCCAACCGCATCCTGTTGCCGACCGGCGTTTTCTGGCTGGCTGAAGGGCTGGGGGTGGGCAGTGCCTTTGCGCTGTCAAAACTGCGCCCAGACCTTCACTACGGCGCAACCGCTACCGCGCATGGGCATGCCGGTGATCAGGTCGATCGGCGAGGTCGTCCACCCGCGCGCAGGCGGAAGTGCGGGCCAATCGCTTGAAATTCGTTCCCCGGCGGGATTACGGGCTCGCCGCGGCCTATGGATGGTCCTGGTATCGAGCTATTGCAGCCTTGGCGGCGTGAGCAACAGCGTGAAACCACCAGACCCCCGCCGGGAACCGTCGCTGCTCGAACAGGCGGCGACGGTGTATGACTCCGGGCCTATGTCCGTGCGCCGATGCCTGCGCCGGTCGAGGCCCCGCGTCCGGCTCCGGTGGAAGGACATGGGGCCGCCAGCCCCGCCGCCCCGCCCGAGCCGCCAGCGTCTGCCGAAGTCGAGGCAGCATCCTCTGTCTCAGCTGAACCCGTCGCGCCCCCGCTGCCGGAATCGCCCGATCCTTTCGTGGCCCCCGTTATGCCCGATACGGAGGACCCACCGGGGCTGGTCGGTCCGGACGATAGGGACGCGCATCGATAGCGGCCGATCCCGCGCTTTCGTCCGGCATCCCGGCCGAGTTCTACTGGCGCAGCCCGGCGACGACAATTTCTGGCCAGCGAATATAATCCGGGGTTCAGCGACGTCGCATACCGTCGACCGCGCGCTCTTGGCCAGAATGGCATGATCGTGCCCGGCGCGCCGATCGGCCTGCTGGCCGAGGAGTTCCGCTGTCAAACGCCAGCTGATCATCACCAGCAAGCGGCTGATCGAGACGGGCGATGCCGACAAGGCGCGCACCGTCCTGATCTGTTCAGCGCGGCCGCAGGACAACAAGACCTTCTGCTCGGTCAACTTGGCACTCTCGATGGCGGCGGAGCGGGATACCGAGGTGCTGCTGGTCGATGCCGATGTCGCCAAGCCCGATGTGCTGGCCCGGCTGGGGCTGGCCGAAGGGCCAGGGCTGCTCGACGCGCTCGATGATAGCAGTGTCGATGTCGAGGATCTGGTGATCCGCACCGATGTCCTGCATCTGTCGGTGCTGGCCTGCAGCACCCGCGCAAAATAGCGATACCAGGCTGCTCGCCCCGGCACGCACGCGTACGGTCCTGCAGCGGCTGTTGTCAGCCAATCCGCGCCAGCTGGTCATCTTCGACTCGCCGCCCGCGCTAGCGGCGTCGCCCGCCTCGGTGCTGGCGATGCTGGCCGGGCAGGTGATGATGGTCGTCCGCGCCGACAAGACGCCCGGAGAGCGAGGTCACGGCGGCGATCAACCTCCCTCGACGCGTGCGAGCATATCCAGCTGGTACTCAACAGCGTCGCCTTCATTGGGCAGCCGGCGGTTCGGCTATTATAGCAAGGATCTCGGCTGAAGCATGACGGCATGGCCGATCCTGATGGGCTGTCTGGGATGGCGATCCTGCCGACCCCGGCGCTTGCCCAGATGCAGGACGTGCCGCCCCCCTCGGCGTCGCGGCCGATGCGGGCTGCAGCCGCTCGGCAACGCAGCCCCGGCCCCGATAGCGAACGGTTCTGATCGCGCGCGCGCGCGCGCAGCGCCTTATGTCGAAGTCGGACGGTTGTTCAGCGCCGACCTGAACGGCGGCGACTCGGTGACGTTCACCACG